CTGAATTAATTCACTTGTCCCGATCAGATTGTGATGGGGATGGAAGCCAGGTCCTCAGCTGTGTGGTGAGAACTGGTCTGGGCAGTCTTAACTGATCCAAATTCAGATCAGAATCTCAAATGAACACACCCCTGGAAGCACGCATAGATGCATACACTACTAGTCTTGGGTGCCTACTGTGCATCAGGCCCATACGTGTTTTATACATGTGTCTACCTCTGGCAATTGTCTTATTAACATTTGCTATACAATGGAAAAAAGTCCAGGTTCAGTTAATACACCCAGCTGAGAGGGGCTGGGAGACAGGACTCTATTTGCTGTCAGGCCTTGTTACAGTTCCTCCACATCTTGTGTGACAAACTCAACAGGGCTAAGATAGAAAAATGGGACAAGCTGAAATGCAAGAGCAAAATCCACCACCTTCAATGAAACAACACAACAGAAAAGCAAGCAAGAGAATCAGAACAAGGCATGCACTGCCAGCATGCATCAGACATTTCCACAGACAATAGCTTCCTATGCTACTTCCTTTAGCTGTGCAAGTGTGGAAACTGCAGAGTGGCTCAAATTTAAATGACTGTGTTGTCCAAAAATGGAGAACTAGTATCAACAGAGATTGAGTTTCTCCTATCTGCCTGTATGGCTGTCAGGGAAGGAAAGCAACTTGTGGTTTGTTGGTGAAGGAAGAAGTGAGGTGAGATGGTGTTAGATCCAGAGGCAAACCCAAGCTGGTCTAAAGTGCCTTGCAATACAAATCAGAGTGCCATTTGCTTCTGAATTATTGGAATGCACACTTTTTTTTACAATATGCAGGTAAACATTTTCAAAGCTTGGAAAGGAACTTGCTGAGGGCCACATAGTGATTTCTGGGTAGAGGCCCTTTTCATCTGCCTTCAAAGCTGCTGTCAGGGCAGGTCACAGCTGGCATCCTTCTGCTAAAGGAAGTTTATTTCTTTGATAAAGTCTCCCTGTTTTTGATGTTTTGCTAGGAGTCTGTGTGCAGCCCATGGTGAGCTTCTTTGGGAAAGGTGGGGCTTCCTTGGGAAAAGAGTCTTGGTTTGGTTATATTCTGGGTTTAATTGAATTCGTTCCTGGGGTGTGTGTCTGGGCAAGGCCAGAGGACCCCACCAAGCCATTCTAACACTGATCCATCTGGAGTGGCCATGGCTGGGCACTTGCTCCCAGCTAGGTGTGCTCCCATGTCTGGCTGGCCTTTCGGTTGTCTTCTTGGTGGCCATCTAGACTGCCACTGGAACTGTCTGCTGTTTCCCTGGGCATTCTGGGCTCTAGAAACTGTGATGGTTTCCTGTGGAGGGGCTTTTCTGTGGGCTGTTTTTCTACAGGAAACATGTAAAGGCTGCAACTCTTGTAAGGTCTATGCACGGTGCTGTCCTGCACCAAACTCCCCAAGAAGATCCCTGGTTGTACAAGAAACAGGGATGGAAGCATGGAGTGCTCTCTTGCCTTGTAGATGGCAGAGTGTAAGCTCACACGCAATGGGGAGGGATGTCCCTGAGCCGGCCACAGATGGCTGCTGGTTTAAGCAGAATCATGCTTGTTAGCAGGAATTGTTGGAACCATCAGCAAAGGCAAGCACTGAGTGCAAGTCTCCCAGTATAACCCAAAGAAGCCCTGTGGCCTTCAGGCCCTCTTACATCACAGCACCCACTCCTCCCTAAGATCTGGGTCAGCAGCAGGAACTCCAGCACCTCACTGGCTCTCCATTGCATTTCCAATCCCTTCCAACCTTTTGTGGAAGGACTGGAAGCATTGGTTCTCCCAACTCTCACACATGCAATAGTTTTTTTCCTATCAGTCTCCTTAAACCATGCCCCACCCACACAACACACACATAGACGCATACACAATACTGATAAAATATGCTATTCCAGTACACAAGGAAGCACTTTGTCAGATTCTAGTGGTGTGAGACCTCTGCTGGGAGGCTGCAAGCACCTGCATTTCTAGCAAGCTTGCAGATGATGCCACTTCCGCTCTTGGGAAAACACACTTCTAGTATTGAGGCTCCAGGCCACTCCACCTCTGCCTCCCACCAGCCAGCTAAGTCATCATGTTACATTGCCCTCTGAGGGAATATGGGCATGGGGCAGAGTCAGTGCTTGGGCCCTCTTTCTTCCTCTCACCCCCACCCCAGCTCCTCTCTCTCTCTCTCTCTCTCTCTTTCTCTCTCTGTCTCTCTCTCTCTCTCTCTCTCTCTCTCTCTCTCACACACACACACACACACACACCCTCAGACTCACAGAACTATAAGCCCAGGCCCATGATCCAGGTTGAGTTTTGCTAGGAATGTCTCTCCATGCTCTATCTCTGTTTTCTGGGGCTGAGCTGGATCAACAAGCATATCTGAGTCCCTCCCTTGGCTTTCCAGTTCAACTCCACCCCAACCTACTCGGGAGTCTTTGGCAAGAGCACTAACTTCTCTAGTCTTGGGGCCCTTGTTGACAGGTTAGGGGTGATGCAAACATCCTGACCCAGGCAAGTAAAGACAACTTGGGGCCTTGTACATAAAGATGCCTATGATCGTTCTTGGCAAAATAACGACCAGTCAACACGGTTGAATACCTGGGGAGCTAGTGAGAGCTAACAAATGGTACTCCATTCATGAATGAGGTCTATAGGCAGGGGTCAGACACGACTTGTCCTCCAGTCATCACAGGTTCATGACTCCAGACCAAAGGATGGGGAGTGGCAGTCAAGAAGACTGTGAGTTGGGAGGGGGGGGTGTTGTTATAATGTGAAGAAGAAATAAAGCAGAAGGGAGGTATGGGACATGAGGATGGCCTGCCTACACCCCAGAGTAACTTCTGATGAGTACTTCAGAGTACTTCTGATGCCTATCTTCTGTCCCTAGCACACTGAGCTTGCCTGTCTGTTTGGGAATAGCAGCAAGAGAGGTAATGATGTGTATGCGTGTGCATGTGTGCATGTGTGTCAGTGATTCTGAGGCTCTGGGTGGCAGAGAAGGCTAGGACTTTTGAGGGAGCAGGGGAGAGGAAGGGCAGAGCGGACCTGCCTTAGCTTTTCTCACTGAGGAACTGGGACACGCTAATGGGCTGTGCTGTGATAAGGAAAAAAATCTCACCACAAAATAATGATAATGATGGGTAGTGAGGATGCCCTAATTTCAGATCATGACAGCACTTGGCAAGGGGTTGGGACTGGCTGTTATCATTGTGTCATTTCTGATTGAAATGTTCCAAGAGTCCTTCTAAGTGTCATTTAAAAATCTATTAAAAAAATAGTTGTCATTACTGGCAACTTTACTCTTGACTGATGTATTTTTTAAAGGAGTTATTTATTTATTTGAAAGTCACAATTACAGAGGAGGGGGAGGAGGGAAAGAGAGAGTATGTTCTTCCATCTGCTGGTTCACTTTCCAGATGGCCACAACTGCCAGGGCTGAGCCGGATGTTTTATTTGGGTCTCCCACATGGATGGCAGGGATCCACGTACTTGGGGACCATCTCCCGCTGCTTTTCTCAGGCCATTAGCAGGGAACTGGATAAAAGTTAAACAGCCAGGATATGAATCAGTGCCCTTATGTTGTGTGGGTGTTGCAGACAGCAACTTGACACGCAAGACTTACAACACCAGCCCCTAAAGCTTTCTCTCTATATATATTATTTTTAAATATGGTTGCTGCTTAAAATACAGGGTAACTGTACTGCCTTTCACTTGCACTACCTTAATGTCATGACTACCAGGGCAAGTCATGGGATCCAAAGGTGACATTTAATTTTTTCATCTGAAAGTGAAAGGTGGGCCTGGAACATTCAATGATTCCTAACGCTGCTCATGAAACCGAGTGTTAAGAGACATTTTTACCCAGCTCTTGTGCTCTCTGCTGTCTGTTGATTGGGGGTAAGGGATGGGAGATGAGCACGGTATTTGTACAACAGGAGTTTATTTGCATGTCACTTGACTTCAATGGAAAATTCAGGTCCCCAACTCAGAAGCACACAGGGAGCAACACCCACTCTGCCACCTGTTGTAAGCTGTCCGTTTCTGGACATTGTTCTGGATCAAGCCAGCTTTCTCTGGGTACGAGGCAAGCTTCAAGGGGTCAACTGTGATTTTAAAAGGTGACTTTTAAAAAGGCGGCCTGAAAGAGAGGTGGGTGACAGACCTCCTGGGCCGCAACCAAGACACACATCCCTGCCTGGCCAGCAGGTGGCACGCACGCGCCCTGGGGGCTCCGAGGGAAAGGCCGTGCGCGCGGCCTGCGGCGAGGGGCCGCGCACGTCGGGGCCAGGAGAAGGGGGATCGGCGCCGCGGGAGCTATTTCCGGGAGGGGCGGGCCCGCCGGCGGCCGCACCTCCAATCTCGGCGGCGGCAGGGGGAGCCCGAGGCGCGCGGAGGAGGAGAGGCGGGAGGTGGAGCCGACCGGCGAAGGACGGTGCGGGAGGGAAGCCGCGGGGACACTGGTTCCGGCCTGAGGAGGTGGAGGGGCCGCCGCGGGCTCCGGGCAAAGAGGGTGTGCGCGCTGAGGAGGGTCGGGGACGCAGGGGCGAGGGCAGGGCAAAGAGCCGGGCTCCGGAGCGAGCAGCTGTGGCGGGCGGCCGACCGAGGCCCCGGCTTGGGGTTCGCCTGTGGGAGGGACACCCGGCGCGCCGAGGGAGAGCGAGTGGTGTGAGGGAGAGGATGGAGCCGGGTCCGGGCCGCCCCGCGCCCCGACGGGCTAGGAGTGGTGCCTGGCGGCCGGGTTTGCGGACCTCTGACGCGGGGTCTTGGCCCGGCTGTGAGGACTCCGGATCCCCGGGCCGCGGGAGGCTGGACCATAGGGCAGTGGGGCCGCTCTTGAGGTCCGCTGCCCGGCTCCGGGTTGGGCGAGGCACCCCTCTCGGGACGGGCTGGGCGTGTCCGCTGGGTCTACCTGGGTGGAAGGAGCGCCGTGGGCAGCCGAGTCCTGGCTCGTGGTCTGCCCCGTGGGAGGGGAGCGAGTCGCGGCAGGATTGTGATTCGCTGGGGCGAGTGGGAGTGCCGGATCGGGTCTTGACATCCGACTGGGCAGAGGGGGAGCTCTCTGCTTTGGGGTCTGGGCAAGCCAGCTGGGCGCAGCTGGACCGGGTCTGGCTTTGCGAGTGAGCAGACGTGTTTGCCTTTGACAGAGCCGAGTGAGAGGACGTGAACCGAGGAGATGCCGAGTTCCGACCTGCTCACGTTGGTAAGTCCCTCCTGGACCTGCCTGCTCCCCAGGGCCTTGTGCCTCCCCCTACCCCCTCCCCCCCCCTTTTTTTTTGTTCTCAAACTCTGAGGGGCTCAGGGTGGAGATTTTACCTTTGAAGCTTGATGTTCAAGTAGCATTGATTTTCTGCCACGTTTTGTTTGGGGTTTGACTGTCAGGCCACAGTACATGGCCGAATGCAGAGTAGGAATGCAGTACAGGTAGAACTTCAGCGTTCTCAGAAAACTCTTTTGGTTTTAGTCTCTCCTTGACTACGCAGCTTGAAAACCTCTGTCACTACATTTCATCAGAGTGTGCCATATCTTCCTAAGCAGGTCTTTGTCTCCCAGAACAGTTAGAAGGCGGACCCCTGTCTCATTTGTTTGAAGATGAATGAACGTTTACTCTGGGACTCTGAACACAGCAGGAGGTTAACAGCCGCCCCTGGACTAGGTTGTGGTGGGCCCCGGGAGCCTGCCTGTTGTAATATTTTCTTGTTGGGTGGGCCGTGACTGTGTAGGCTCTTCAGTGTGAGGTTTGTGGGAGCCCATGGCTTTCCCATAGAGATACAGAAATGTGTCTTGTAGAATACATCATTTCTCTGAGCATTTCTTTGTGTAAAATCAGCGATTTAAACATCAGACTTTTCTCTGTCTCATCGTCCCAGAAAGGCAGTTGTTGTTGTCCTTGGGGAGTTGGGAGAAGAACTGGTGAGGTTTGCTGCTTCCTCCAGGGCTGACCTCCAGCAGGAGGGGTGTAGAGGAGGTGGGCCAAGCTGTGACCACTGTTAGTTTCTGGTGGAATGAGGATGGCCTTAAGCTGTGTTTGAGAGACAGATTCCAAAGAAATGGCCACTTAAAGTAGTTCCTTGCTCCAAATCACCTGGATTATCGGTAGATAATTAAGAGAGTTACGTGATTTTAAATTCTTATTCTAGGAGTATTAGAAACATCAAAAGCTGTAAACCAGTGAGAGGAGCCAGACCCCACCATGCCCTCCTGGCCTGCCCACCTTTGCCTTTGTCCCCTGGGGACAAGTGCTGCTAGCCTCTTGATGGGTTGGCACAGTGTGGCTAGTGGGTGGTGTTGCTCTCAAAGATCAGTTTCTGTTGTGAGTTACAGATCCGCATGTGAATAGGTTGTTTTTTTTTTTTCTTCCAGTATAGAGATGGGCTTCCTATTTCTTGGGCTTCTGAGTTGGCATCTGCTGTCTAAGCAGTGGTTGCTTTTTTCCCCTGTTCACTTTGGAGTCAGTGTTGCTTTGAGGTCTTGCTTTGACCCTTTCTGCCTTGATGGTCTGAGAAGGCTAGGGGATGTTCTGTTGGTTTCTGTGAAGGATTCATCCATGCACAGTTGTGGCCCTCAGCAGTCATTGCTTTCAGTGTGCGTGCAGTGTCCTCCCCACCTTGGCTTTGATGTGCTGCTTGGAGGGGAACTCCACAGAACTGTTGACAAGGGCTGGATCTCTTGTGGGACACAAACCGCTGTGGTTCTGAGTGCATGGTGTTTTCCTAACTGCTTCGTAGGAAATGAGACAAGTCCTTGGCCCTCCTTCTTGGGCCAGGAGTGTAAAAAAAATCTGGAAGGCAGAGCAGCATCCCATCATCTCGTAGTGAGAAGCAGTCTTAGAAGTTACACAGTGCATTGTCTTGGAGTATACTTTTATAATACTTTTGTAATACTTCCAGTAAATGGCTGTCGATCACCTGTCCTGACTGCTCATGGAACAAATTAGCACATGCTAGGAAACAGTATAAGGTGGAGTAGGAATCATAACTCGTACGGTTTATATTTGTGGTGCATACATTATGTGACAGGTGCACAAGTAGATATTCTACACATTCTTTTTTTTTTTGAAAGATTTGTTTTTATTGGAAAGACAGATTTACAGAGAAGAGACATAGAAAGATCTTTCATCCACTGGTCTACTCCCTACGTGCTCGCAGCAGTGGCCAGAGGTGAGCTGAGCTGATCCAAAGCCAGGAACTTCTGGGTCTCCCATGAGAATGCAGGATCCCAAGGCTTTGGGCTATCCTCCTTTGCTTTCCAGGCCATATACAGGCAACTGGATGGGAAGTGGAATAGCCAGGACATGAACCAGTGCCCATATCCCAGCACTTACAAGGGGAGGATTAGCCAATTGAACCAGGTGCCAGGCCCTCTACATACTCATTTTAACAAAAACCTTTGAAAACCAAGGCTGCAATGGCCAGATTCCCTGATGTGTATAGTCCCTCACTGAAGAATGGAGGGGTATTGAGGCTGAGAAACCTGCTCGGGTTTCTCAAAGAAAGAGAGATGGCCAGCGGCTTGCACAGAAGAGAGATGGCCAGCGGCTGGGTGTCCTGTGCTACCCTGTGGATGGGGCATTGCATCTTGTCCTGGAGCCTCACTGATCTCTTTCACAGTGTGGCTCGGCCCTGTTCTGTTCAGGGACCAGGTCCTGCTGGAGAGCATCCAGCACCATCATCTGCAGCACCGTTCTTGGGAGAAGTGTGCTGCTTCAGCGTTTTTCTGTCACTCTTGACTTGATAGGAGCCAGCCTCTCTCAGCAACTGTTCTTCTTGTTTGTGTTTTGCTTTGGAAATGGAATCTTTCCAGTTGTTTGAGTTTTATCTTTGACCTTTGAATCTTTTTTCAGGGAAGCTTGCTCTTCTGATCTGAAATGGGATTTTAGCATTAAGCTGTTAAAATGGACATTAAAAGCTCATGTCTATTGTTTGAAGCTAGTGTGGTGTTTATAGAATTAGCTAGGAAAAAGGGAAAATTCATTGGGACTAGTAGTTAGGACATTTAAAATTTCATTGTTATTTGAATGGTTATGTAGGATGAACACCATGTTTGGCATTGGTCCAATCTTGTATGTGAATTAAACAGTAATAATCTCTCAACCTTTGTTCTAGGGGAAAGGGTTGTTATTAATAGATAAATTCCAAATCCCAGTATTTGGCTTAGCATTGCGTGTCAGGAATTTTTAGTAACATTTGCCTTCTTAATTAGGCTTTACCCCGTGCAGTGTTGCATACAATTTGTACACATAGATGGTACAATTGAGAATTGGCCTTGGGTTAAGAATTTTCCATAGGGAGTTGATTTGTAGGGAACCAGCCTGTATGTGTAAACATACAGAACTCAATGACTTATAGAAAAACTGTGCTGTGGGGTGAGGGGAGGAAGGGGTGCTCTGGGAATGCAGGATGGGTGAAGGCTTGATGTTGTTAACTGGACATTTTTGTCATCTGGCCTGCTCCTGCAGTGTGATTGGCCGCTCAGGGATATCTGCGGTGCTGGGCAGGTAGAGGAAAACCAGTAGGGTGTGGTCAAACAGCCTAGGACCTGCACCTGGAGAGACAAGGGAGAGTATAGCTTTGGAGTCTGGAGAGTTTAGCTGAAGGAAAAGGTCACCTGTGTGGGTGTAACCACTGCCTACTGCTGGTAAAGGAGAGGGAGTCCAGGGGATAAATCCCTCCAGCTCTTCTACTCTGATTTCCACTGGAGTGACCTTGTGGCATCTGGGAGCTAGGGAGTCCTGGAAGGCTCAGGGCAGATTTGAAGAGGGTTGAATGGAAGTTCTGGAGACAGAAAGGGGACTTTGTTTTAAAGGACACAGCAGGAAGACAGAACTCAGGCACAGTCCATGGATAGGACTTGAATTGTTACAGAAAAGGGGGTGTTTTTGGGCATAGAAACAGGAGGAGAACATACCCACAGGCAAATGGTCCTGGCAGTCTCGGCAGGCCCAGAACTGCACTGTGTCCAGTGTTGAGTAGCATAGAATCTTCCTTGCCTTTCGGAATCCTGTGCTCCGGCTTTCTTGTTCCGTAGGAATGCCTCCCCCAACGCCCTGTCAGGTGTGAGCCTCCAGTGTAGTTCTTATGCTGTTGGAAGCTTTACATGTTAGAATGTTTCTGATTTATCCAGATGAATCGCTTAAGATTGGTTTGAGTGTGTGGGTAGATGACAGAAAAAGCTTAACTCATAAAATTATTGGTTTTTTTTTTTTTTTTTTTTTTTTTAAGATAGAGATATATTTCCTTAAAGAAAAAGGAATTTGGAGTAGGCAGTTCTGACCCATTCATTCCTGGCCTGGTCCTTCTCAGGTGTTTCAGTCCTCAGGCTGCCAGTTTCCCTGCCAGAAGTGGATCCTGTCCTGGTGCAGGGGAGCCTGCGGTTGCAACTTTCAGGTTCAATTTTCATTCAGCAGGAAGAGGAAAAGGAAGAAGAAGGTTTTGCCTTCCTTTTTACTTAGAAATGCTTTCATGTGAAATTTAGGAAAGGGTGTTTAAAGCACATATCTACATTTTAAAGAATAATACAGAAGCCAACCATATTTCTACCATTCACCATTTACCCCAATACCACAAGCCCCACCCTGTTACATACGTCCTCTCTTCCCTCCTTTTGAGATAGAACCACAATCCTGACCTTTGGAACAGTGATTCCTTGCTGCTATATTTAAATTAGTGCTCCGTTTATGTATACATAGTTTAGTTTTGTTTTTTAATTTGGTATAACTGGATTTGTTTGTATTTCTTGAGATTTTCCTATGTCAATATTTGTGAGACTCATCCATGTTATTGTATGTAGTTAATTCTTTTTCATTATGTGTTGGCAATACAATTTATTTACCCACTTGATTAATAGTGGAAATTTGAGTTATTTCCAATTGAAAGTTTTTTTCTTTTTTAGCTTTATTAAAATGAACTTTCTTTAGATGACAAGTCATCACAGATGTAAGGAATTTTTCTGGAGTGGGAGTGCTGGATTATAAAGGCCATACATCCTTAGCTTTGCTAAATGCTGCCCAACTTAATTGAGACTGATAAAATTTATACAACTAAGAGTAGAATGTGTTTCTGTACAACCTGACACACTTTTTAAAAAAAATGATTTTTAAAAAGATGTATTTATTTGAAAGACAGTTAAAGAGAAGAGGAGACACTTGAGAGATTTTCTTTCTTCTGTTCTCTCCCCAAATGGTTGCCAACAGCCAGGGCTGAG